AGAGAGAGAGAGAGAGAGAGAGAGAGAGAAGTGGGTGTGATGAGAGACGCCCGCACCTCTACTCTCCTCTCTGCTGGCTGGCTGGGAAACAGAAACAGCACCACGGGGATAAAAATAGCAAAAGAGCGGTCAGCCAGCAGTGGGGTGTGGGAGGGGAGGCAAGACCCTAAACCTAGTTAACGACCACCAAAAAGGCCCGGAAGTCGGCCACAGTGGACCGGTGTGTCACTCTGAGGTGGCATCTATAGCCGTTCATTCATTCTGGAATAGAAAAAAAAGCCCTGGCGTTTCATTCATTCGTCCATTCATTTATTCATTGTAATGAAGTAAGAACATTTACAGAATGAAATAATAATTTCCTTCCGATGCCATTTTAGCAGTGTCCATCTCGGTCTCGGTGAGCTAGAAGTATGCCAGCTGGCTACTAGAGCATAATTTTATTGTTTGTCCCTTTAAGCCTCGTTGATAGAGCAGAGGTGATGTACGACACAAAACTACATTAGAGAGAGATTTCTGCAGTTTCTTTGTTACAATTTTATATGAAAAGTGTCTTTAATGACATATCTGTCTGTTCTGGTACAGCTGCTGCAGGCGGACCAGATCTTTTCCCTCATTGTTTTTACTTTTCACGTTAGCAGTTTTAGGTGAAGTAGGCCGCTCATAGTATTTCCTCCTCGCTTCCTAAGGGACAAGCAAATAATACGCCTGCTACAGCGATCAGCTTTCATTTATAGATATTAATGCTGACATTCTAATCAACCGACTGAATATTTGCGCCACTGGATCAGTGTTTTTGCTAAAAAAGAAAAGCATAATTTGGAGTAGTCGTGCAGAATTGACCGGCTACACTGAGCCCACAAGTGTTAATCTTAAACTACTGATGCCATCTACTGGTTATTTAACAGACCTGCATTAAATAGAAACCATGGTTGCATCATCCCAGAAGCACAGGTAGAGATACTGTAGAGGGCCTTCTCACTTGTAAACCTGCTGGTGTAGTTTGGTACTACACTAGGATTTCGTGTGCTGGAAATGGTGGGGTGGAGACACGATCGTGCTTGATTACTTTCCAGCTCGTCCAGTGGAAGAAAAATTAAATAGTGAGTAAATTTTTGGATGAAATTACAATTGTAAAATCCATTTACATATGTCATATATATCCTTTTCTATAGAGAAAATGAATGATGTGTATAGTTTTGCAAGCAACGATCTGTAGACAATGGAAACAGTGCAAAGATAACTGAACGGTTTGAAAGTGATATTTAAGAAGCTGCAATTGGCTCAATAAACAGCAGATGGCAGGAGGGATCACTATCTGAAGGCCAACCTGTTGCAGAACGTCTATATGGTATGGTATAATTTGGCTTATGTAAGCCTTTCACATGATGAACTGCCAAATGCAAGAACCCCTGCAAGTTGTAAATAACTTTCCATGAATATGCATGATCACTGCGGCCCTGAAATTCATCTGCTTTTCAGATTATCATATCGGGATGGCAGAAAGCTGCAGCACCAACACTAAATATAGACCTTTTTTTAATATGTTTGCAACCGCTGACAGTAATATTTGCGTGTGAAGACAGTGAAACACGGAGGGACGTTTTTTTTCCTAGTCACTTTTCACATAGATGCTCACACTGATTTACCCCAACACACTAATTACAACTTTGATCATTAACGAAACCCATTTTTCCCCACTCTTTAAATTTTCCAGCTCATCTCTCGCTAATGCTCGTCTCTTCTTATCCTGGCTCTAGGGACTCATCGTGACATCCACAGAAAGGGGAAACAATAGGTATGTTTTTAAAAATTAAAAAAAAATAAAAATTAATATTTACATATATATTTCTGTGCTTATTGAAACCAAAACTTTACTATCTTAGCGATCAATTTCAGAGGTTTTCTGCACATTTTTAATTGCACCATTTTGCTCCCATATGTCTTAAATATAACACAGTAGGGTACCTTGGGAGACATCAGTGAAATCGCCCTGGGAGAAAATAACAGCAGCAATATCTATCCCCAGCCAGAGAAATTAAGAGCAGACGCTGGCATCCATTACAGCTCCTGACGGTAAGCAGTTTAGCTCAGCTTGCTGTAAATCACTGCCACTGGAGACACACGCTCTGCACTGGCTTTATATGTGGTTTTTATCTCCACATATTCTTGATTTATCAGCTGTTCCCTCTTGGCAAGAAATAATGGTACCACAGCTTCACCTGGTGGAGTGCCTCTGCTCTAAAGAATTTATTGATTTATTCACCAAGAGCAAGCTATTTCTTGCATACAGTCGAAGCCATCTGATGTTTGTCCTGCATCGGAAAGGGTGTGTGTCTCTTTAACATCTTATAAAAGCGCTGCAGGGAGGCATAGACTTGTTCATTTTCAATTAGCCAGAGACTCACATTAACTGAAGATATTAAAGAGGAGAGTAATACTGTTGTACAAGCCAATAGTCTGTGAAGGCTGGAATCTGCTGAGCCTGCATTGTGTACACGCAATAGACAGACACAAATACACACCGAGCCACATAGGAGCGTATCTGGTTTGAAATTCAAAGGTACATTCCCAGATGTATGTTCGCTTAGGGACAGCCGTGCATAAGTGGCTTTACATTTGCCTTTGGTGGTACCTGTTTGGCTCACTGTGTTGCTCCCTACAGGACAGCAGGCAGCACGCTGAGGATTCATAGGGGAACACTGTCAAACACCCTGCCGCATATATAGAAGAGCTTCCAGAAGACTTACACATAAGATACTCCAACATATGCATAAATTCAGCACACAGCTCTGCAGAGCCCTATGATCCTACAATATTAATTAAAGGAGAGGAAGCTGGGTTGGTGGATAGATTAACAAGAGTGCAGCCAGAAACTGCAGGAGAAGAAGGAAAATTTGGAAGACTAATTTAACCACCTTGCTGACACGTGTTTCATTTGGTCAGCTATCAACTGGCATGGTGAGCATAACTGTCTGGCTTAAACTGCTACAAGCTACCAAGGGGAGCGAAAAATTTATATACACATTTTACTGCACATACCTCGCATGCACAATATTTAATTCACTTGGCTTGATGCATAGCTACTGCATTTTAAATATCTCTGTGACTGTTAATAGATATGTGAGTGAACCTATTTCAGGGTTGATCCAAATTATTGTTGTCCCTCTATATCTTCCTGGAATGGAATATCAGCAGATCCTATAACTATTAACTACTGAGACAATGATGCCCTTATACTCCTTGTTATTCATAGTCAGGCCAATAAACAGCAAATAAGCTGCTGTAATACTCAAACTGCCCCGTTAATGTCAACAGAAAAGCTGGGCATGAGGATGTATGTCTTTGTAGCCCCACTAACAATACGGGCCAGTGGATTTCTATGACGACGAGTGTGGTTAAAATATTTTTACAACTCAGAATTGCATTAGCTGCATATGCTGGTTATCTCTTGACCTTGCTCTGTAGCACCTTGAGGAGGTTTAAAGTGCTATCTAGTGAAATATCTGGACATCTAGTAAACTGATTAAACTTACCTATTGATCATTCACCTTGACCACAGTCAAAATTCTTCAGTTTTCGTTGGATCCAGCTTAGCATGCTAAAATGATAAATACTGTCAGTCTAAAAGGGTTATTCAGTATATTTGGCTGAAAAATGTCCTTTGTTTGCCTCTTCTATTTCTGTGTGTGTTGCTTCAGTGCTAATGTGCAGATGTCAGCGGTGCACCAAGGACAGAGGGGGTTCAAAGAGTCCTGTACTGAAGAGCACCACAAAGAGCTAATGAGTAATGCGCAGCACAACACCTTTATGTTTCTTCTTTAATGTGACTCTGGCTTAACAGCAGAATATTTGCAACGTCACCGTCTTTGCACAATTAGGATTTTAGCTTAAACATCAACTAATTGTAAGTACGGTTGCATAGAGCATACAGCTAATATGGCTACCATCTGTTAGTCTTAGCCTTTTACCAATTCTGAATATGATAAGGAAAATCAACAGCTCAATTACTCTTTCTTTAGGCACTTATAGGCTAGATTGACAAAGTAGCTGCGAACAGATCGGCTCAGTAGAATCCAGAGCAGCTCCAAGTCCAATTAATAAAAGCAAGAGTAGTCTAAATGAGCTGCGTGTTCAGTGAATGAATTAGTAGAAAAGCTATTCAGTGGTGTAGAATGTGGACATCCAGCACGATCACTCCACTAATTACTAGAGACAAAGTATACGAGAGAAAGACCCAGTCAGGGTTTGTCTTTAGCATCAGGGTGCTGTCTGAAGTATCTGCATTGCTTACCTACTGAGCAGGGGAGAAAAACAGGACCCACCGAGGAAGCATAATTCACTTCTCAGCAATATTATAGAAATATCATAGATCACCGCTTGTATAAGCACTCAGCGTCCCACTGTTTGGTAAATATTGATAAAGTTGCATCATTCAGAGGCAAAAGAATGAAGCTCTTTGTCACACAGTCGATGGAATGATTTTATATCCTGCCTTGTAGCATGATGGATGATGAAATGATGAAATGCTGGCCTAAAAAACAAAAGTGAACAAACAAAACAGCAAACTCGGCTAGAATACCCAAAGGACAGTCACTGGAGAAGGAAAAAGGAGATTGATATTCTATCAACACTGTTTGTTTGTTTTGCTGTAAATCTACTGAGAATATGCCTGCACATATTAATAGAAGGAAAGCTCTATATGACTGTCAGCAGTATTGCTCCCCAGAAACTATATGTGGAGATCAAATATTTGTACTGATTTTGTCCATGCTTTGGTATTTGTAGCAATACTATGTTTGGTGGAGTGCATAATTTATTTCCCTGCTGTTAAACTCTAGAAATTGAAATTTGATCAATATCTCAACAAATAGGCTGTGGCGTTTCCTGTAACATAATTTGAAGAACTATTTTATTGTTGTATAGACAGCACTTCAAATATATTTTTTTACGTATATGTTCCCTGTTGCTTGTATGGTTTTTGTCATGAATTCACTCAGTGCTGCAGTTATTAATTATAGGCAGCGGGTCATTATCTTGCAGCACTATTACAGTGTAACTTTGACAAAAAAACAAAACAAACCCAAAACAAAAACAGCCTTCAAGCATAATAGATTCGACTCAAGAAAGCTTCAGCTGTTGTTCATACTGTATGAAATAAATGGAAAACAAAGAACGCCTGGAGCGGTAGAAAAGAGCCCAATCCATTTTTATAAAGTCATACTATTGTTTACAAAGCAATAAGATGTGTAATGTTCAAGTAGATGTTTAAGGTCAAAAACAGGATCCAAACAAGGAGAACGAAAGACGGCCAGGCAAACAAGAAATAACGACAAGAAAACTACACTTACTTTCCAGCCCAGCATTATGGCAAAGCGTGTAATAGATCCGTGGGTTGGACTCTGTGGGCAGCATTTATTTTTAAGGGAATATTATTTTGTATATACATATATACATTTTGTCATCTTTGTTCTTCTTTAAAGAAGTTTGTAGTGCAGTAAAACCAGATAAGGAAAGCGTGACAGATCTTGAGTGATGGATAATAGGTATTTATTTGTAAATAACTGGACATGAATAACTTGAGAATATTAGATAATATTATAATACAGTATATTTCTAACTAAGTAGGCCTTTCATTCTCTTTCTGTTGACAAGACTTTCGTTAGCACATCAACTTATGTAAGGCAGATGTGAAATGTAAAAGTCAGAGATCAGATGTAGCATGACATTTATTTCTTAAATGATGCCAACATAAACAAAGGTAGTACAATTTCAAGCATAGTTTTAGAGATACAAGTCATTTTATGAAAGTTTGACCTTATTTGACCTTGAAGAAGAGGTCAAAGGTCAAAAATAATGTGATATTTAGAATCACCATGTATTATTCTTTATATGCCTATATGGTTTACATACAAGCAATTGCAATAAAAATTTAGTTTTAAGTAGCCATATATAGGACTAATCAATGTATTGGCCTTGAAGGAGAGGTCAGAGGTCAAACGTGACATGATATTTTAAACCTTTATACTGTACTTTCTACTTCTTGACAATACACACCACATTTGTAAGAATCATAGTTTTAATTTTTTCGGTCAAATTTCAACCAATAAATTATTAAGTTGTTCTTGAAGACATTGATGGATAATGAACAGTTAACACACATCTACACGTCTGCAAAGTTTTATCAGAATTCATTAGACACTTTTCGAGCAATCAGGTTTACAGACAGAATGAAATGCACACAAACGCTACCAAAAACAAAAAATAAAAATCTGTAATTTGTGTGCTGAGATATGGAATAGATCATGTCACTGGGGATCGTCAGGAACCAACAAAGAGCTCCTGGTGCACAGGGAGGAAAATACTGGAGGTGAATCCGCTACTTTGAAAAGGCAAGACATAAAGGATTTGTGGTAAATGGGTGTGTAATCCAGCAGGATTACACTATGATAGGTCGGAATTCATCTTAGCTGCATTGTTTACCAGCTATGTAAGTACACTATAATGATCTAAGATCAGCTCTTTTGGGCAGGTCATTTTCTGTGAAGATTTATGCCTTATCTCAAGATTTCTTTTTGCTCAAGCTTCCTTCTATAACTAGTCAAAAAGACCAGCTGCCTTGAACTATTTCATTTTTCCTGCTAAGAAATAGGGATTCTCCAGCAGTTCAGCATGTTGAACGACTCTACTCACTATATTATTTACACCAGAAGTTTTCATATCTTTTAGGATCTCAGATCTTTTTATGGTACAGAACATATTCAAGGACACTCTCACCTTCCTAACGGTAATTTACCTGGTTTGGGTTTAAGGTGAGCTCACACACTAAATGAAACATTTCTCAAATATTTCTGATCATGTAGTTATTAGTGGCTTATAAGCCAAGCTACACAGTAGAACAGTTCGTTGCACCCAGAGAAGAGTGGGTGATTTCATGACAGACTGATGTGATGTGTCATAATGTGTGTCATAGCAGAGTTGGCCCAAAGAGCATGTAGGAGCAATTAATGGGCACAACATGCTTGTTTTATTGATCCAATCTGCATTAATGTGCTTATAATCATAGCACAAATTTATAATTTATAGTAAATTATCTTCCGGATGCCTTTGATCATGCACTGAATTGGAAGTGCCACTGAGCTACAGCATGGACCTTAGCAGATATTGCACTGGCATAATGGTCAGTCAGAGTAGTTTATTCACAGCACTTCATCACGGCAATGGGGATTTCTTTAATAGCATTGCTAAATTGATTAAAAAAGGATTCAGAATGCCAAAATGTTTCTGCACAGCTGGTGAATATGAATTTAGCTGGCTCCAATGCAAACTCACCTGATCTCACTAACCCTTAGTTGCATGGGAAGTAGAATTAAAGGCCTTATGATAACTTACCATAGTACTTCTTTAGATGTTGATTTATATTTTTTTCTGGTATCATATTATCATTTATCAGTGGTTAATGATTTATTCCAGCTGAGTTGAGTGTATGATGCAAGAGTTATGCTTTTAAGTTTAAGTACTTAACATTGCCGTCCCAGCTGTCATTTTTTTTACTTACCCCCTTTTCTATCCATATGCGCATTACAGCAGTGACCTGACTGGGACTGCCTGGAGAGAAAATGTCAGTGATATCCACTCATTCTCCACCTTCTCAGCAGGGAATCAAAGGGACGTGTGAGTGTGTGTGTGCGTGCGTGTGTGTATGCATGGGCACTTCTGTGTGTTTATGGGACACATAAGTGAAGACACAGCTGGAGCCCTAGCACTGTTATCAGCTTTCCTGAGGGACGTGGGAAGGACACTGGAGAACTGCTTGTGCAAAATTTACTCCACGTTTTAGATGTGGTGGACGACGTGAAACTGCAGCCTGCAGTTGCATCCTTTGTCCTGTGTGAGGCAGCAGAGATACAGCCCTCCATTCTTTCATGATGCATGGCATGTGCTGGCACTGCCGCAGAACTGACACACATGAAAGCTTGCACACACACCCCCACACACACATATGTCCACAGACGCTCAGTGAGGCCAGCATGCTGGACGCAGATTTAGACTGGACACAACAGATCAGTGGCGAGTCAACTCTCTTCATTTCAGACTGACACAGATGGTGATGGTGCATAAAGTATGTGGATGGGGAGGAGGAGTTGGTGCTGACGGACTGTGAATTGTTATAAATCTTTGTCTTGTACGGAACAAAGAGATTCCATCCCACACTAACAGGCAAAAGCTTTTTGTGACACCTTTCTAAGATAGTGGGGACAGATGTGTGTGCGGTTGATTGATGGTAATGTTTTGCTTGAAAAATTGGAAACGGGGTTAGGAATGCATTGAGGCAGGACAGAGTAGGCATGAAGAACACTGTTTCTTGAAACTATGCTTAAAGGATAAATATGATTTTGCCCTTGAAAAGGGAAACGGGGAAAAAAACCCTGGAAAAGGTATTGTCTTCATGTAATGGGGTGAATAGAGGCTGTTCAGTAAAATCATTCACATACTGAGTAATTCTTCAAGCGTTTATCATGGAATGACTGACTGTCAGGACATTTCCATTTCCCATCCATTCTCATCAGCCAAATGGCCCAGTGATGAGTGACAGGCCACACATTGCTACCTCTTGCCCCAACAGGTGGTGCATAATGATGTATTTTGACCACACATGCACACACTGAAATGCATATGCACCAACTGAGCCCATGTAATCCAAAAACACCTGCAGCCCTGACAGTTGACATTTAAATGATAAATATTAAATGATAATTATGCAGCATGTTAATTAGCTAAAGCTGAAGAGGTGACTGTTTCAAGAGTGAAACTCATTGCGTTTCTGGTTTAACATTGTCATAAATAGATTCATGAGGCAACATTAAATGGCCTGCTGAGGTGTAGCTCAAAATTCACTGAATGGCAAATCAAATGGAAAATAATTGTCAGGCTTAGTGACGATTAACGGGCACATAAAGTGTAACTTTCTCTTTTTTGTTTTTCTTTTTTACTTCCTTCTGTGTCTCTGTACCCCTACAGATACTGCTGCTTCACCATTGTCTGTTTTTTTATGATAACTGTGTGCATGGTTGGCTTGAATACCCATGTGTACACATTTACATCTGAGTGTGTAAATGTCCCAGTGCAGTTCAATAATGAGCTGTTGATTAATGACTTCAGCATTCTGAGGGCATCTCATTGTCCTGTGGCTTACTACAGGGGCTTGACCAACCGCGACATACATACATTTACTCGCACACATTGTCTAGTATGTTTTCTCATAACCACCTATTACTATTAACCTTGGCTGATTTACCTTACATCCTAGAGGCTTTATTGCGGGAGAAACATTACCTCGTAGCTTCCCGGTGACCCATGATAGGGTGATAACGAACCAGCAGATACTATGACCCTCAAAGTGAAAAAAAAAGGAATTTAACTATTATTAATCTGTCCCTAATGTGTGATACAAATACACTGAACTCAGATATTATACTTTATACTTGTGATTATGAAACTACCTTTTCTGTCTTCTGCAACCCTCAAATGAAGTAACTTATAACTATACTGACAGCTGTTAAGTAGGCTTCATTACTACAAACAGTTACTTGTAGAAAACCTTTTGTAACCTCTGCAACAGTTCAGAAACTCTAAAAAGAAAAACAAAAGCATCCTGCTGGTTTGCAGGATGCAGAAGTCACACAACCGTGCAATTACATGGTTTGTGGCAGTTTGCCAGATGGTTTGTATTTGTTTGTGTGTGTATGTGTGTGCGTGTGTTTCTCTCGAGTTTGTGTATAGCACTTTTTAACTAAAATCTGTGACACAACACTTCACAGAAACTCAGCAATCAGCTCTTGGAAATCTAAATGGTGAGCAATTGGCAGCCCTCCTCATGTTCAGACTTGTGGGATGTAAGTGGCTTACCAGCTTCCCCCTTAAAATCCCATGAAAACCCAGTCTCTGTCATCAGCAGTCTAACTTGTGCTTAGAGCCTTGGGATTCAAGATGGCACCCCTTTATAGAAGACAGTAAGAGTCTTATCTGTGAAGGATTACCGAGAACACTCCAAAGGGATAGCATCTTCATCAAATATAATTAACATGATTCCTACTTTTGACAAGCTGGAGATAAGAGCTGTGATTAAAGAAGGATGTGTCAAATGTCAAATGCAGAATGGATGTCCAAGTTCTTAAAATAAATTATTAATTCACCCAGGCATTTTAATTTCCACTGCAAATGCAATTTGGGACACACATGTAGTTTGACATTTGCTGTCATGATCTATGTGTGGAGATTAGGCTGTCACTTGAAGTTTTTGTCTGTAAGAAACATTCACACTACTCAGTAAAGGTAAGTAGTGTACCTTTACACTACTTAGTAAAGGTAGGATTTGACAAAGCAGCGATTGCTTTGTCAAATCTAAAAAATAGGCATAAATTAAAAGTACCAAAGTAAAGAGATTTCTCACTTTTTACCTCAGACAGTACTCACCTGTTTGGATCCATCCTTTAATTACTGCCATTATTGCTGAATGCTCTGTTTGTTTCATAGGAAACTAGCGGTTTCTATTTTATGGGCATGTCCATCTCCTGTAAACAGTGAAATCACTTGGTTAATGATTAGAATATCCATAGAATATCTTTAATCCCCACATGTGAATATTGGCAGTCAATCATGTCACACACTGCTCAAGCTTTTTAATTCAGCTGATTTTTTTCATTAATGTACTTAAAATACCTTTTTTCAGAGATACTCACAGGTGCTCACAGGATAGCCATTACAGACATATGATTTATAGGCTATTATGCTGGACATTAAATAGATGTAGCTCAGCCTTAAACATATGCAGTAATAATGTTAATCAAATAAATGCTGATGGTGAACATCTTTTGCACAGAATAATTAGTTTTACTTTTGAGACTATATGAAAAATTATCCAATAATACAACTTGATGTATACTGAGTTCTTTTCATAGTGTTTTATAGTTTCTTTTCCTAAAGGAATTGAACAACTCCTCCACCGCTTGTTACTGTCAGCTAATAATAAATAATTG